TTTTTTTTGAATTTATGTATAATATTATTTTATTGAAAAATGTGTAATTAAAATAATGTCAAATCACTATTTAAAAATATATATTTTTTAAAAATATGGCTCAAAACCATATAATATGATAATTAAGATGACAAATGATTAAAGCGATTTAAATGCCATATCATTATTTCTTTTTATGAGATTTATATGGCTTGATAAAATTATTATCTGTTACCTTTTTTCCCTCAAAATTATTAGCGCGTGACACCGTATCATGAAACAGCCGTTTCATGCAGCTTACGACATCGTTTTAGGAATGCGAACAGAGAATTAGTGATTATTACAACACTCGAAATGCACAGAACACACCATTCACTCAAGGACCCTGCACACAGACAGAAGCTCCACACTTCTCTACTTTCTCTCTCTAAACCCCCAGAGGTATTTTTCCATTTTCCATTCCAAGATCTATTTTACATCTTTTAGCGAATTAAAAGGTTCTGGTCGGTGATGTAGAAGAAAAACAGTAGAGAATTTTCATCTTCTTGATTCTTCACTTTTTAAAATTTCTGTATCCTTTTGAGATCTTACTTTTTAAGAAGTTGATTTTCGGTCGAATTTTTCTTACCATTTTTCCCATTAGAAGTAGGTCTTTTTTTTCTTTTTTTTTTAATTTTTGGGGGACCTTTTTGATTCTTCAGTTACTCATCAAGATTTTTTTTAGCCCTTTTTAAAAATATACACGTTTATGTTATTTCTTGTAAAATTTTCTAATGAGGCTTTTTAGCTTTAACTGAAAGATAGTGCTTTGCTGTTCATTGCTTCAAAGATTTGTTGTTTACTTTGATTTTCATTGAATTTTCTGATTATATCTATTTTCGTGTTGTAGGGAGAAGATGTTTAATTCGGGACCTTCAGTCCCTTGACCTATGGTTTCTTTGTAAGCTTGATGTAATTATTATCATGTTGTTAATATTTTAGTTAGATTGTAGGGTTTTGTTAATATATAATCGGAGAAAAGAGAGTTGTTGCTTCTGTAGGTAATTTAATTCCGATTTTGCTTTCATTAGAACTTGTAGCAAGAGTGTTGTGTAGCTTTAAAATGGATCAAGGTTTGGATTCAGAGGCAAGTCCTCCACCTGGGTCAATTGACAGGTCTAGGGTTTTGGATGTCAGGCCATTAAGATGTCTTGCCCCACGGTTTCCAACCCAACCCGGCATGTCTTCAGCTTCAACCCCTCAGTCCACACCATTTGTGTGTGTTCCACCTACCGGTCCCTTCCCAACTGGTGTCCGGCCATTTTACCCTTTTATGGTTCCAAATGATTCTCAACAGACAGCGAACTTCAGTTTTGGCAATGATATACCGGCCCCTGTTCCATTGAATTCATTTAGAACACCAACACCCCAAGCCAATGGGGGCATGGGGAGGTCTAAGAGGGCCTCCAAAGGTCAAAGGTCGGGATCTTTAGGTGTGGAGGGCGATAGTTACAGTGACTACCAGAGTGACCCGCATGCGGGTGAGGTTGGTTTGAATTCTGCTGATTTGGATGATGTCAGTTATTCTGGGAAACGCAAGGGTAGGAAGAGGAGAGTTGATCATGGTGATGAACTAGATGTTGAATCTCTTGTTAATAGCTTCTTGACATCATTCAAGCTTATGGAATTTGATGATTACAGAAGAGCTAATGGCAACACAGAGACAGTTGATACTATACTGTTGGCCTATGATTTGTTTCGGAGAAGGCTAACCCAGCTTGAAGAAGCTAAGGATTTTTCTTCTGGAGTTGCTAGACGACCGGACCTGAAAGCTGGTGCACT